TTTTTAATAATAAAATAACCAAAATCAAATAATTAAAATTAAAACCCCACCCCACCCCACCTTGAGGAAGACCCCAAAAACTAGCAGGAACTTCGCCGGAAAGTCTGTTGTGTCCTAACCTTACACGCAATAAGCTATGACATTCTGCTAAATCCGTTGAAATTTGGTCAGAAAATAAATTTTCAACCATTAAAATTTCTTCAAGAACACTCTTTGAACACATATTCTCAAACATTTTGCCTGAAAACTCGTTCGTTGAAACATCAATCCATCGTAAAGGCGAGTTTTTTTTCAAGATTTGGAGGTAATTTACTAGTTAACTGGTTATGAGTAGCAATGCTTAACTCGTATAAATTAGGCGAATTGGTAATGCTTTCTGGTCATTCACCTTGGAATCTGTTCTCATAAAGGTTAAGTGACTCGAGTGGCAACTGGGATTCTACCCGTTAACACGGTGAAAGCCACATCCAAGTCGGTGAGCCTCCGGAGTTAACCTAGTGACTCTGGGATTCCACCCACCAGATTAGTTTGCGTTAATCATAGTACCTCCAGATTCGTGAGATTTCTAAGCTCTGACGGGATCCAGCCTGGTGGAAATGTGTTGTACAAGAGATTCATCTATTTCAGGGTTGAAATATTCCCTAAAACTGGGGGTGGAAGAGAACAAGAAGGTGAAGGTGGAGGTGGGGTGGATGGAGAAGAAGAATGTAGAATGAGTTTTTAATTTTAAGTATTTGATTTTGGTTGTTTTATATTATTAAAAAATGTAAATGTACTATTTTAACCTTTTAAAAGCAGACAAAATTATTGTCAAAGTCAATTATTTGGTTAACTAACGGTCAAACTAACAGAAATCATCTATTTGGGCTTCAGCTGCAACATTTTTGAAAGGTTTGGTATTATGGGTGGTACAAATGAAAGGTTTGGTACTGTGTGTGACATAAATTAAAGGTTTGGACAAAGTTTGCTACTAAATTAAAGGTTTGGTATCGCTTCTGCCATTATCCATTTAAATTATGCTGGTGGCTTGTGCCAAAATATTGAGTAATTTTAAATTCTATTTCAATATTCAAGAACATTCTTCCATTCACTCTAAGAAATTAACTTGTGATTAAGGTAAGAGGAAATTACATCTACATCCGTTTTTCAATTTTCCATTTCAATAACCAATTGATAAAATTATTAGTTCAAAAATCAAGTGTATCCCAACTCCAACTCCAACCCCACCCACCTCGCCCCATTCCACACACCAGCCTACACTAACCTTAACATATTTTCAACTCAAAAATGGTCATAGTGAACTGGTTCTTCCACAACCACATATCCTATGAATGTCGATGACCACGCCACCATCCGCTTTGGCACTATCAAAGCAAGAGTGGAGATTGTATTTTGAGGTAGGTACAAGGAATTTGATCTGGTTTTAAGGATTTGTGATTTACAATTTAGGTCTTAAAAATGGGATCGATTCACCAACATCAATCGCTAGCATCCCATCGTCGATTGATGTCGCTCTCCATCGTGACTCATTTCCTAATTTTCATTGTCTAATTTGTGCTCACTACTAGTTTGGTTAATAATAGATGATGACAATGGTGTGTTGATGGTGGTCCGACACTAAAGACGATGATCAATGGATCTCAAAATCGACATCGTTTAGGTTTTCTTGGTTTCTCACTCTTATTCTTCTAATTTTCAATGGCCGAAATCGAGGGTGGATTTGTGGTGTATTGAAGATATAGTTGGCAAGTTTGGGAATTTTTTTGGTGGGGATGGTAGTTGTAGTGTAGTAGAGGTGAAGAAGGTGGTGGATTGAGGATGAAGAGGTAGTGGTAGCAGCGACGTTCTAGTTGTGCAGTGGTGGTGCAGGTTTAGTTGGTTGGAGTTGAAGGTGGAGGTGGTGGTGGAAATGGAGTTGATGGTGGTGTATTGTGGATCTGAGGAGGCATGGTGTTTTGAGTGTGCAACGATGATGGAGTGATGGTAGAGCGGAGTGGGGGCGAGGTAAATAGCGTTTGTAACCACTATTTGGGTAATTGTGGTCTATAAATGGGTAATTTGTGAGCAATAAATAATACGTGACATAAAATAATACATGATTTGTGATTAAATTTGTAATTGTGATTCATAATTTGTGTCTTTATGATTTTGATCTTGAGCAATTTGTGACTGGTATGTGATTGTGACCATAAATTGTGTGATTGTGATCAATATGCCCTTGTTTAATTTTCATTATTTTCAAAATATTTTTTTCTTTCTTCTTTTTTGAAAACACATTTAAAAGTAATATTACACGCAAACCTAAAATATTTACTTATTTTTAATTATACATTCTCCATCAATCTACTATTCCAAAATCTATTCTTACAAGGATTAAATTACTTGAACACATCTTGATTAACAGCCTTTCATGTGTCTAAAATCTGTCAGTTGATTGAAAATGGCGTTGTCAAGATCAATGTACAAAATTCTATCAACTCACAGGATTGTAAATTAATGTGTCTAACATTTATGTACATGTATCATGGTCTTTCTTACAATAAAATGGGGCTTGAACAAGCATAAATTATGATATATAAATATGTGTAATTTGTGACTAAATTTATTATTGGGGCCCACAGTGTGTCTTTACGACTGCGACATTGTGTGAATTGTAACTAGTAAGTAATTGTGATTGTAAACTATATGTTATTGTGACCTTAAACTATTTAATCAATAAATAGGTCACAAAAAAATTATTTGGTGGTCACAAATATGACCGCCTGATTTTTGAAAGAATTTAACAGGTTTCTTAAATTTGAAAGATATTGAAACTATAGTAATTATGCAATTTATTATTATTATTATTATTTTGTTGGAATGTTCAAATTTTAATGCATAGATGAAAATCAACTCGCAATTTTATGGTTCTCTGGGCTACAGCCCTTTTAACCGAACAAACGGAATATGAGCCCCAAGTCTGATCATTCCTTTTAGTCCAGAGGGTTTTGTCATCCAATGCATAAATAAACCAACAAAGTACTGGCCCATCGTACCGAATCTGGTTTGGAAAACGCCAACTTGAGCCCAATGGACAATTAGCCTCAGGAAGAAAAGATTTTACTGAAAAGCATGCTCGCTTAATGTTAGAAAGAGTTGGATCCCAAGTAATTTATTTCCTTATTTTATATAGGGATTGTTCGGTAGAGATTAAAATAAGATTAAAATTAAAAAATTAATCGTTATTGTTGACTTTTATTAGACGAGTATGACCCTATAACATTCATATTTTCAATTTTAATTGGAT